GCTGTGTGTTTTTCCTGTGCTATAATTCTTTCACCCACACATACTCATTAAGCCTTTCAAAGCTGCAATGCTGAATTTCTGCTCAATTGCTTGTACAGAAAATAGTGGTTCTGAGCTAATTACATTGCTTTATATGTCTGTGTAGTCATATCAAGTCAAAGCAAAGTTGTTATCAGTGGTGAATTTCTTTATGTTAATGATTTGGTTACCACAAACTTCCTTCACACCGTTGATACCAGGCTGCAATCAGCGAACTTGTATTATCTGATGCAATCCATTAGGGATCAACACCTGCGGTGTTATTCGCATGCTTCAGTAGATTTTATAACCACCAGTATAAAATTAATTCATTATGGATTGCGTATATTTAGCAGGAAGAGATTTTAGTGATTCAAAATGCAGTTGCTCTAAAGCACAATTTGTGAGGCACTGGTGAAAGGAGAAATGAAGTAATGTCTCGGATCAACTTGGTGCAATGAGCTGCTTAGATATCTGAGTGCTAGGTGTACTGCAGGCCAAAGAAGGTGATAAATTAAAACCCTTTTTTTCATCAGGCTTTTTAAATACCATGGCATGAAAATAATGCAGTGGGTGTTGGGTTCTCTTTTCCTAGAAGTGAGTAACCAAAGGGAGGGGAGAGATTTGAAGATTCAATGTAGTGAAAATGTAGACAGTACAGGAGAGCTGCTGCAGAAAAATACCTGTGCAGAAATTGGAACTACTTAAAAGCCAAAAAAAACTATTTTACTTTCAATAAGCTGGAGCCATAGGTGCTTTTGGAGTATGTACAAAATGATTTCTCATGTACAAGATTCAGGAAAACGGTTTTATGAAAGTTAGAAACAGAAAATGAGAAAAGGAGGGAAATCGATACCTCAAAAGCAGTTGCAAAAAAACCTGGTAGACTTTTCCTTTTTTTTTTTTTTTTTTTTGTTCCTATCTCAGTTTGGCAAAGGAAACCTGTGGAAATTTCTTGGCTTTCATTGGCTTTCACACAAGGATGTAACGGCGAAAGAGCAGACGGCTGCTGGTGGGTGCAGCCTGCGAGTCCTGGCCTTGCCCTGCAAAGGGTCTCTGCCCCCTCAGCATTAGGTTAGTTTGGTTAAGCACGGGGGGAATTAAAAATGTAGCGTCCGAAAAGCAAAGGAACCAGCATCTCCTCACGGAGCACCGAACGCCCCTGTGCTGCTCCAGTTGCTCGGAGGTGCTGCTGTGTCCAGCTCACGTCCTTGCGGTTCGGGCGCGTTTTTGCAGGTGGCACGAGTGTGTTGTACCCCAAACAGGAGCGTGGCCGGCCCTGGGTTCTGGCGCTCGGGGGAGTGCAGCCCTTCTCCAGCATCCGCAGGTTTTCCTGGCACGAGCAGCCTAGACGAGACCAAACTGCGCTGGGGTAGTTCCTGGGCTCACTCACAAGAAGGCCCATCCCAGCATTGCAGGGCAAAACAGGAACCTCTAGATGCTCTCAGATGTTCTCAGTTGAAAGTGTCCCACTTGGACAGGAATTAAGCAAAACTGGTTTTAAGACATGAGTCAAGGCACGTTATTGTAAGTACTCCTAACTGTGCAGTCATTTGTGAGAGTTTTCTGAATAACTGTGTTTTGGTTTGGTTTGGTCGTATCAAAGCAGAGATCCCTGCTATTAATACGTGGACATAGCTTCACTGATGCCGAAACAAAACAAAGGATAAGGAATGCTTCTCATTTAGTGTATTTCACTTTTATGGATGCTTGGATGAATTTGTTAGTTCCTGAATTCTGAAACATTTTTTTTCTGGGAGTAGAAGGGAAGTAACTTTTCTAGCAAAGACCAGACAGATAAAAATTGTAATATTATAATGTGATCATCTTTCAAATTCCCTTTGAGCATATGCAGGACAAATATTTTCAGTTTTGATTTTTCAATAAATTGTATTCCTTGGTAATTTATACGAAATAGAGAGCAAAATATTAGGCTATCCTTTGGTGAATTATAATGAGATAGTATGAGTAGGTGACCAATATTGTACTTCCAAATAGCTGATCATGACTCAGGCCAACCAAGCACTTGGCTCTTTTCTTTAATTGGCTCAAAACTTTGTACTTATAAAAATGTCCAGGTTTTTATAAATGAATTTGGGTACCTGTATGTTAGAATGATATTTTCTTGGATGCCTTCCCCAATTTAAAAGTTTTCTATTATTCTGAGAGAAAGGTTGCTTGCCAGGAAGATCTTAGATCTAGTTTTGATTGTGGTATTAATGTTATTTGTTTTACAGTGTTGTTGAATGTCATTGGATTTGTAATGTGATGGAAACACGTTACTTGCCTTTTTACATTTTCTGCTTTCTCAATACTCTTATGCCCATTAAAAATAAACTACATCAAAAGCAGAAAATTATTTTCCATTAAGGAGTAACACAAATGAATGCCAAAAAGTTTCAAACTGTGTAGTCTCAGTACTGAAACTGGAGTCATCAAAGCAGCATACACTTGTGTCTTATTCGTGTGCCATATTTTAATCTGCTATTGGAGTGTGGGGGAGATGGATAATTTAGCTGTATTAGCAGGAGGTCAGGTTACAGTCAAGCTACTTGCCTTTTCGTAGTACTAGTGATGGCTACTTTGCTCCATAAATAAGATTTCCACCAGGTTAAAGGTGTGTTACAAGAGTAATGTCATCTATTCATAAGAAGAAAAAAAAAGTACAGCAATAGTTAGAAAGTCATTGTACTTGCAATCACTTACAATTAGAAAGTTTCAGTTTCTACATCTGAAAATTTGCTAATATTTATAGAATGTGCCTGACTTAAGGATCTGTGTAAGTTTTAGCGTTTTCTGAAGGTAATGGGAACAGCAGCGGTAGCTTTCCACGGGGTACCCAGCTGGAGGAGCATGAGGGAAGGCCTTTTAGAAGGTGTCTTAGAGGTGGGTGAGAGCGAGAAATGGATTAGACAAAGGCTCATGAAGGTGAGTGAGAATTAGCTCGCGATGTAAAAATAGCAGCAGATTTCTACCAGCAGTGTCGGAGTGTTGAGCACTATTCATCCTATAGTGTGTGTTGTAAAACATGTACATTGCACTAATGTTTTCGTAGTGGTTATTTTTATAACTAAAAAGGAGGGCAGTGGTGAAGCAGGGGCTGGTTGTACCACGCTGGCCCCTGCGGCGCGCAGGCCGCACTGGTGAGCGTGTGGTGACTGCGGGCGGGATGGGCCCTTCCTAGCACGGTTCCTGATGCACAGGTACAGTTAATTTATTTCTGATGGATGGGATTACAACTTCTGGCATTTGATCCTGGTAGTGAAGCCAAATCCCTTCTGCAGGGATGAAGTTAATTGGAAAGGGAGTTTGATGGTCCCAATCAACACAGGCCGGGAATTAAATGAGTGACTTTTACCTGTCAGGTTGCAGTTTCTGAAGGAAAGAAGTTGCGCTTGCAGGAAGGTCCTAGTTCTTGCACGTGGCCTCATGTGGTGCATCTCTGTATGGCTCTTTCCTCCCATGAAAAACTAGAATTGATTCAGGACTGTCAATCTTTGCACTACTGTAGGCCGGGGGTGTGCTGGTATATTCCTGTGTTGGCAACAACATGGAGCAAAGGCAATGACCGTTGTGGTAACTGTAGCATTCAAGGTCAGAACATGTTTATGATGAAACATAAAGCATAGTGCTATATTGGAATATTCTACAATCATTGATATAGTTTATGCAAGCAAAGAAGGTCTTTTTATGAGTAAATCTTGTACCAGTTCCCCAGATGAAATGTTTTCCTCGCAGAAGTACATTCATCTCAGTAGAAAGTCTAAAATAATTGTTCGTCCTCATATGAAAATTTCATCTTTCTTATCCCCTCAGCCCTGCCTTCCTCTGCCATACTCTTATCTGCAGTTGTAGTACTGATTTTTCCAGAACAGATTTGTCTATCCTCTTTGCATTTTTATGACAATGTTGTACTGTAGATTGTTTTTTTGAAGTATGAGGGACAGCACCTGGGAATTGAAGTTTGGCATTTTTTTCTGCTATGAATCACTAGCCTCTATTTAATTAAACCGATTAACCAAGTAGCAAACAATGCTGCTTTAAAAAATGGGATATATAACATTCCTAATGTATTCCAGATACTTCCCATATTAAAAGTGTCTATATGCTTCAGTCAATCATTTGTCAGTCTCATGAAAGAATATCTGTTGGTAAACAGTTCTTTTATCCACATTCTTCTGTGGTCTAATAAGTTGTCTGTGGCTGGATGTGATGTTCTGCAAAGAGCTGGTCAATGCTTAATGTGGTAGAGGAAATACGTTCTGGTATCTGCCTGGGATGTCCTCTGCACATGCTTGGATTAGGGCTATCATCAAAAGTAGGGATGAAAAGGAGTTCTTGGTGGACTCAGACTGGTGGGACCTTGAGGCGCTTTTCTTTCTTATACAACACAAAAAAAATGTTTTGCTTTCTGCATTTAAGTAGACTGTGTGATTTAATGAAATGCTGCCACGGGACCTTCCTCTGTCCTGATTTCTGCCCTTGGCAGGCATTAGGGTTTTGTGAGAACTGGAACGTACATATGCTTTTAGGCAATAATGGCTCTTATAAGATCAGACTGAATAATTGAATCTGCCCTTCATTTCTATAGGGATTATAAAAGTGAAATAAAAGTATATGGTCAAAGAAGTGCATCATCTTAAAATCATTACCAGGGATTACAAAAGTGAGTTACTTTTAAAACAGTTACAGCTACAGCATAACACAAGCATTTATAATCTGTATATTAGAATATGCATTATTATCATATTAACATTTTTTCCTGTAGAGTTTTGACTTAAATTGTGCTCTATTAATAGGTTTGCAGCATGACTTACTCCGTTTTTAGTGCAGAAAATGTGCAAGTGCATTCAGAAAGACATGCAATGAATTGATTTATTTTCCATCAGTTGATCATTGTATGAACTAGCATTGGCTGTTTATTTGTTCAACAGAAAATATTGACAGAATTCTCTTTCTTCTTCCTTGTACTGATTATTTAGGAAAAGAAGCCCATCAATATCAAGAGATCAGAATAGAAGATACGACCAACGGGACGAACGAGACGAATATTCACAGTATGCTACATCAGACAGTGCAATGCCCAGGTCACCATCAGATTATTCAGACAGGAGGTCTCAGCGTGGGCCCCAGTTGTACGAAGAACCTGAACTGGGTGATTATAGAGATTCCAACAGAAGGAGTCGCAGGCGTTCCAAGGAGTATCCGGTAGAGGAGGAGGATGTGCAGAACAGGGAAGAATATGAGAGGCAGCGGAGGGAGGAGGAATACCAGGCACGGTACCGGAGTGATCCCAACTTGGCTCGTTATCCGGTTAAGCCACAGCCGTATGAGGAACAAATGCGCATCCATGCCGAGGTATCGCGAGCGCGTCATGAACGGAGACATAGTGATGTCTCCTTGGCAAATACTGAGGTGGAAGATTCCCGGATATCTATGCTGAGGATGGAACGGCCATCGAGGCAAAGATCCGTGTCTGAGCGCAGAGCTGCCATGGAAAATCAGCGTTCCTACTCTATGGAAAGAACTCGAGAGGCTCAGGGACCAAGTCCCAATCGTCAGAGGACCACAAATCATAGCCCTCCTACACCTAGGAGGAGTCCAATTCCTCTGGAAAGAGCAGACATGAGGCGCTCTGATTCATTAAGGAAGCAACACCATTTGGATCCTAATTCTGCTGTACGGAAAACAAAACGTGAGAAGATGGAAACTATGTTACGGAATGATTCACTCAGCTCTGACCAGTCTGAGTCTGTCAGACCTCCACCACCAAAACCCCATAAAACAAAAAAGGGAGGTAAAATGCGCCAGGTTTCATTAAGTAGCTCGGAAGAAGAACTGGCCTCTACTCCAGAATATACGAGTTGTGATGATGTAGAAATTGAAAGTGAAAGTGTTAGTGAAAAAGGTAAATTTTTTTACTTTTTTTATTATTTCAATATATAGACATGGTTACACTTCCATTCCCTTGTATACCTGTTTTATGTAGTAGATCGAAGTTGCCTATCAACAGTTCTTCAAATGTCTCTTAAGTTTGTTGTGATGGGAGATTTTTTTTTTTGAGTTTTGTTTCATTTATTGAAATCCACATTTAATGACAAATTGCACAAAGAGTTACATGGAGAAGAATGTAATGGTTACAAAGTATTTGGATTTGTTAAAGAGAAGACCATGTTTGTTGAAAAATAATTAAATTGCAAAGTGTGTAGAGCAGGACTGTCCTACAAATTCATGCTTTCGTGACCATTATTAATACTGGATTTATATACCCCCTGGTCACCCATCAATATATGTTTGATCTGGATTGAGCATGTGCACAAGACTGAATTTCTGTTGAATTCTGTCAGAGTTTATGCCAGCTTTGTGTTGGCAGCTGGAAGTTAAACAGCATCTGAACTAGCAAGCAACCTGTGCATGGAAAGTTAATCCACTCAAATTTTAACCACGTTTGTAATGACTAAGGTGGTTTCTATCAGTGGAGGGTTCTTCTTGCCATGGGGCTCTGGTGCATTTTGGTTTTAGCACTTACTAGGAGTCATGATACCGGAGTAACGCCACTGTCAGAAGAAAAACTGTGATTAACTTGAGCAATTCCCAGCCCATCCAGAGGTAACGGTTCTTACATATGATTGAATCATGACAATGTTGGAGACAATCAATTTCAGCTGTAACGTGTGTCATATTAAGTTAATAATATTAGGTCATTTACCTTCAGGTATCTCGTTGGTCTAAAATGCAATGGTTGTAACTTATTTTCTGTTATTATTATTATGCCAGGACCTCTTTTCTTCATGCTCATGAATGTTTTATGCTCCTTATTAGCAATATTCAAGGTATGAACAGGTAGGACAAGGAAATACGCTTTGTAACATATTAGTGTATATCTGCTATTGTGGTTTGGGATAGAAGGTTTGCTACAATTTGTTATTATTGCTATTATCAGCATTGTTTCTGAAGCAAGTAATTCAGCAGGGTTAGTGAAATTACCCTGGATTTTCACATGTCAATAGCCTGCAAACTTGAGCCTGAGCAGTGGGGAGTAGGATAGTGCAGAATAGAATGAAATTTAGCCCCGAGTCCAAGCAGATTTATATATGCACTTAAATCCTTTGATGAAATCCTGACCTGTTCAATCTTTCTGATCAAGAGCAAATTTCCTATCAACTTCTGGAGATCCATGATTTTTCTCCCAGTAGCAGCCTTGTAGAAAACAGATCCAATTAATATCTGGAGATCAGTAACAAAGTGTGTATCCAGGAAAATCTGCAAGAGGATTATAACAGGTTATTATATTTGTATATTATTTGTATAGATAGTAGACAAAATCCAAAAGAAAAGGTACAAAAATGTTAGAATCATTGTGGCCATATTTGGCATAAATTGTAGTTTCCAGAGAGATAATTTTATATTTTAACTATGAAAGAAAGGAGAAAGAGAACTGCTGCCGGAGCGGGGGCAGAGGCCTGACCGCTGCAGCCTTCCCTCCCACTCTCCCAACGCCGGAGCAGACGCTCCAGGACGTTGTGTTTGAGTGGATTCGGGGGCCGTGGCCTCTGCCGGGTGTGCGGGAGGAGAAGGGATCTGCTGCCATGAGGGGTTCCCAGCGCCCGAATCCAGCCTTCCCAGCCGCCGGGGTTGGGAACCCGGGGGTTCCTGCAGCCTCCTCTGAGCTGTGGTCAGTGTCTCCCGCCGGGTGAAACAGGCTGTGCTCAGAGTTCCTGTAAACAACGGATCTCTGTGTGGACACTGCCAACAGAAACCCAGCACATAGCCCCCCATCTCCCATGTATTGCGATAATTATTTCCTTAACTGATAAAATTACATTTTGATAAAATTGAATGATAAAATTAAAAGTTTTAAACACATTTTATAAAGTTAGGCCTCCCCTTCCTGCAGATTACTGGCCTTCTGCTTTACAAGGGCTCCCCAGACCTGAGGAATTCTCTGCTGGCCTTTCAGGCCACGTACGAACTCTGTTTGGTCTAAGATGTAAAGCTAAATATAAAACATTCAGCCTCAGAGCCCCAAAGAGCGGCAGTGTTGGAGTGAAATTCTGAATGCAGAGATAGTTTGTTCTGCAAAAGGAGAGAATAATTTGTTCTCCTTCTCTTTTTATGTGGATTTACCAATCTTTCCACCAAGTGTGAGTGAGTGCTCAGCTGTAAGCCAGAGCCATTCTGATCAGAGTTGTAGGAGCAGCTGTTCACTAAATTACACCTGAGGTTTTCCAAGGCCTCTACATTGGTATGGCAAAACTACCGTAAAAAATGTGAATTATCCAAAATACAGCTATAAACTCTTAAAAGAGTTGCAAGTTTACCTCTTCAAGCTTCTCTTTCTATAGGAAAAGGTTGATACTGCCTTTTATAACATACATGTGTAAGATTGAAGAGAGCATTTTCATTCTACAAGTACATCAGAAACAGGGGCCAGGTAATGGGAAG